GCGGATTACTATGCGTAATTCAATTCAAAAATCCGCAATATTGCAGATTTGAAAAAACAATTGCAATACCATCCTTAATCACAGTAGTTATGTTACAAATTTAATCATGTGATAAAGATAAATTGTCTGACTTTTGAGAACGCTCTGACTTCTTTGCAGGAGTTCGTAATTTATTTAGTTCTATTGTTATTTGGGAAGATTCTCTGGCATCAGTTATTTTATCTTTGAAGGTTTTAGACTTTTTAGCAAGAATGCTTGTCATCTGTCCAACACGTTCTACAAGATTCTGTTAAACTTTATTATTAGTAAAAGCTTTGATAACTCATAAAGCGAAGTTAATCAAAAAAAAACCAACATACCCCGTGAACTAAAAATCTTTTACATAATAGAACAAGCTCTCCCACATCTGCATCTTTCGTTGGTAAGAACTCTAAAGCCTAATCCCAAAAACCGTACAGATCTCCATTGATTTGAAAAAGAATATAGAAATGAATTCTCAATCTGATTATTTGAAAAAATGGTATAAATATCAAAGTCATTCCTTTTTGTAGGCTATCTGGTAAAGGATTTCTGTCACTCTGCTCAATAATCTGATTTTCAAGTTCGATATGTTGCGCTCTGGAAACCTTAATCATGTCAATAAAGTTAGTTCTTGCCTTATCGTGATTGTCCTTATGGGTTGGCCCACTATTCTCGCCAATACCAGCCTCTCGAAACGAGCTTTACACATAAAATCTTAAGTTGGGATTAACTTAATTACTTTTCATAACAAAGTAGACACAACTTACCCAATACAAGAAATCACATGCCTTGCCAACACATTGGGATCCAGAACGCTCTATTTTATCATCACGGTCTGTATCTGAATGAGTTTCACCACTATAAAGGAGAAAAAATGATGCTTAATATAACATACAAATCAGTCAAGAATGAACTAAATTTCTTACTAAGTGAATATAGTTTGTAGGGTTTTGGTACATGTTCTAACTAGAAATATGTCAATGGTTCGTTCAGATTGGGATTATTCAGGAAAACAGTTGATCCACCCACGTATAACTATTGTAATACTATTGTTTAAATTTATAAACAAATGTAAATGACCAAATAATGCATACGGATCACTAGTCGAAATAATTTTTTTTTAATTGTTAACAATGCAGTCTAGCTGCAGTACTTTATTTTGTATTGTAAATTGAAAAAAATAAAAAAATTCTAAAAAAAATACTAAAATACGCAACTTACCCCTGTGGTTCTATTTCAAACTCGTTTGAGTCAAACTAGTCGAAATAATCCATTTTGTCACTTTTTTAAAGTACCGAATGTTGGCCAAAATATAGTCTAATTTCTGCTGATCATTACCAAAACAATCAGCATTTTTAGTTATAGCCGATGTTACCCAATTCAGGTGCCACACAAAAGAACATTCAGATATTAACGATTGGTAGTTATTTATATATCACTAGGTAAAATAATACAATTCGTCACA